CCCCGCTCCCGCCCGCTCGCCCCCCTCAGTCCCCGCGGCGCGGGCGCCCCCTGGCGGCGGCCGGGCGGGGCGGGGCGCGGCGGAGGAAGCGGGGGCGGCGCGCGCGCCGTGTCCCTCCGCGCGGGGCGCGCGCCCAGATCCCTCCGCCGAGCCCGTGGCGGCGGGAGCGGCCGTGGCCATGGCCCGCGGAGCGGGGCCCGCGCTCGCCGCGCTCCTCGCCCTGGGGCTGGCCGTGCTCCGCCGCGCCGAGCCCGCCGCCGGTGAGTGCCGGGGGACGCGGGGGGGAGGCTGCGGCGCGGCGCCGAGCGCGGGGCGGCGCGGGGGGGACCGGCCGCTGTCTGCCGCCGGGGAAGGGCAGCCGCGGCCGGGTGACATCGCGCGGGGGGCCCGGGGCCGCCGGCGCTTTGTGCGAGCGGCCCCCGAGGCGGGCGCGGGCGGCGGGCTGAGCCCCGCGGGAGCGGCGCTGCCCGGGGAGCCGCGGGAGCCGCCCCGGGCTGCCCGAGCGAGGGATGCGCTCGTCCCGGGCCGGGGCGGCCGCAGCGGGAGAAAGGGGCTTGCGCGCCCGTCGCTTCGCATACCTGCGCAGCGAACCTTTGTTGGGGACATTCCTGCACACACGGAGGGAATCTGCGTCTCCTCCTCCTCCCGCTAATCAGTCCAGGCGCGATAAAGCCATGTGTGCGCATCTGAGGGAAGTGCCGCTTTTTGTCACTGTTCCCCCTTGCATTATGTGCGAAGCTTGTCTGGAGCGCTGGTTCACAGCCATCACCGGGGGCTTCTGGTGAAGATCTCGTGGCATTTCCAGCAGCTCCTGCTCCCGGAGTGAAGCTTGTGCGCTCCTGCACCGCGTTAAAGCTACGGAGGACCAGCAGTCATTGATTGATTGCGTGCCTTCTCATTCCTTCTTTTCACTCTTGAGAGGCTAGATTGGTCGTCTTCTTCTTCACAAGATGACTTGTGAAGAGTGCAGCTATGGGAGAAACTATTAGTGGAAGCTGTTTAGGGATGAGCAAGCAAGACACTGGTATTTTCAATACTTTTCTTGTTCAGTATGGTTTTGGAGTGGAAATTGTTGACTGCGGAATTTTGACCACTTCTTGCTGGTTTGGATGCAGAGTAGTTGGGTCAGTCAATCGGTCTGTTTTGACTTTGAAATGGTCAAATTAAAAATGGTCAGTATTTGTCTCCTGGGAGAAATGTTGTTGGGGTTTTTTTCCGGTAATCCCCCCTGAAAGCCGATTTAGTTTTGCTAATATGTTGCAAGAAGGTAGTTGGGGTTTAAAAAAAAAAAGGTGTTTCACAATTGTGTTTTGGCTAGGTTTGTTCAAAAGGAGAATTAAAGGGTCTTTCAGGGTTCTTAGAAACATGCTTTTGTGGTAGCATGGACTTGTGGTGCACAGGAGCACTGTCATTTCTGGAAATGGCTTATACAGTTCAGTGAGATGACAAAATACTAATTTTGCAAAGCCTAAATGTCGTGTCCACTTAGTGAAACTGTACTTCCATGCGAACAATTTAGCAGCTTATTGCTGGCCCTTTCCCTGAGGGGCTGAGAGAAGTAGCTGTGGCATCACCTGTTGTCACTTGCCTGGGTACGCATGCCTGAGGTGGTTGAGGTCCTCCCATGCTGCCGAAATTTTTTGCCCTTGTGGTTGAAATCTCTTCCTGGTGCTGAACAAAGGCTGGTCGGCAGAGGTGACAAATCCAGGCTGAAAGCGACTCTTGTTGTTGCGAGATACTGACCCGCATCTGGTCAGCATCACTCCCTGGGAGTGGGAGCCGTGCCTTGAATTAATGGGAAAGGGAAAGATGAAGTCACCGAAAGGGTATTTTCGGGTGCGTGTTCAACTGGCTTGATGCTCTTTTGCAAGAGAGGGCAGGTACCTGCTGTCAGCCCTCTTGGTCAATAAACGGGAGGCTCCTGGATGCACGGAGCGCTATGGTTTGGACTACTCAGCCTTGTCTCATCATGCAGGCCCCATGGTGCAGCAACTCGCTTTTCCAGTTTAGTTTTGCAAAGGGCTGCAGTTGAAGGTGCAGTAAGCTGGGGTGGGGCAGCAACACCTGCGCTTTTGGTGAGGGATACTTACCTGATAATTGCTGAGAACCATTCCTTTCTCTGCCGGGAAGGCAGAGGGATCCCGGTTGTCAAGCCCACCCTCATTACCCGCTGTCCTTAACTCTGGTGCTCTCTCTCTCACCAGGCTGCTGCTGCTGCCTACCAGCCCGTGTTTCTAACAGGTTACAATCCATTTTCAATCGGTGCTCTGCTGCCGTGGACTGCAGTTTGAGGTCTTTAGTATTCACCCAGTGAAATTCGGAGGACTTCAGATAACGCTGACAGTGCTGGTCTGCTTGATATGGATTTTTATGGGAGAACAAGTTTGACTTCATTTTTTGAAGGTGTTGCTACCTATCAGATTTGTTCTTATCAAAGATGCTGATTTAGACTTTCAAATGGGAGGGTTATGAAAATCTGGCTAACTCACATCAGTTTCTGCAGGGCATCACTTAGTCAGATGATAAATACGTGAAGATCCTCCTGCTCATGTTCTCAGGACTTGAATCCTTGGGAAAGGAGGACTCGCGCCTCTGGTGGCATTTGGCATTTGAATCTCTTTCAGTGGATGGGTTGGGTTTTTGTCAACTTCCACAGCTACTTCCCCCCCCTATTTTTTAAAAATTATTTTCTGTTGTTGCACTAAGTGGGTGATTACCTTCAGTAGATCCTGTTTGGGTTCTCTCCTTTCCAAAATTGGTGTCTGTGCCATGAGAGAGAATGAGTGTCTGGCCTTTGAACCCAGGACAAGGAGTAGGTGAAAAAACAGAAGCAGGACTCTGGCAGCCTGTTTCTTCTGGGAATCTATTTTAGCATCAAAACCAAGCAGTTGCAATAGTAGCTCCAGGTATACCATCTTTTCCTTTGAGTTTGTACTCTTGGCTAATGACTCTTCAGTGGAGCATCCATACCATGATTATTGTCACCCTTCCTTTGGGACACCTTAGGGTAACATCATCCACATTGGGGGAAAAAGAGCTTTCCTAAGCACATGTTAAAAAGTCACTTTGTGGATTTTTTTAGGTCTTCAGTTTCTCCAAATTCATTTTGAAATCATCTCTCCAACAGAAGTTGAAGGCCTGTCTAGTAGAAATAGTGCTTATATCATTCTAAGCAGGGTCCTCCGAGATCTGCAGAAATAATCGTTCGTTCTGTTTAGAAAATAGTCTGTTCCTAGGGCACATGTCCTTTTTTTAGCCTGCCATGGGGATGAAAAAAGAGCTTTGTATCTCAAAATGGCACGGGTGCCTGCTGTTTGTCCCATGCAGCAAGCCTTCCTCTCGCCTCCCTGACATCACCCTGGCCAGCTGCAGAAGCGCTGCCCAGAGCAGGCGCTGGGATAACATTTCTGCACGGGCAGACATGCTCAGCGTTCACATTAATAAAGATTTAGTGCTGCAGAATGGCAGCAGGAACACTTGGGAGAAGAGGCGAGCATGGCTCCTGCCTGCCAGATTGCCATGGAAACACCAATACCTCTTCAGCTCTTTAATTGCCCTCCCTACATTTTTTTGTTGAAAACTTTTTTTTTTTTTTCCCTCCTAACCGAGTGCTTTATCTCACAGTTCTGGATTTTAGGTATTTTGGCTTTGTTTGGAAAACTGCAAATGGCGGAAGGCAGAGGACAGTAGCTGTGTGGGGAGATGGAGAACATGGTGACTGATTGTCTTTCAAACTGTGTTACAAGCTCATCCTAAATTCAGTATCTATTACAATGCGAGTTTTATCGATAGTTTTTCAGTGGCAGCAGTGTCACATGAACTGTAGCTGCATCTGATATAGATATTAGTGTTCCTGCAGCTTCCTGGGCCTGACACCCCAATGATGAAAGACTTCAACTCTACCTGTGAATCTACAGGAGGGTTCCCAGCTCTGTTCTTAGGGGCGTTAATTAGTAGTTTTTGCTGGTCCTAGGTGTTTGGAAGAGATATTTGAACCAGATGATGACAGGACATGGGGTTCTGCATGTCCAAGAGCTTCATGTAGTCAGATTTGCTCTTGGCATTTTCAAATGAAAAAAAAAAAAAAAACCAACCAAAAAACTGATTAATTTCTTCATGTTTACAGGCTTGTTCTTCTGAAATCCACTTAATTATTTTCTTTTCAAAGTTGTTTGCACTTGTCTAGAGCATTAGTGAAGGAAACCGGTTTAAATATTAAAGTTTTCTCTCCCGAAAGGTATAGGGTATTGGTTGAGTGCCTTCACACTTCTCTGAGCTCTGCTTTGCTTCTCAGCTGAGTCTTGCATTATCCAATTGATTTCAGGCTTTTGTGTGTAAAAACAGTGGAGATGTCTTACTCTGATTAAAGCAATTCACTTTACAGACTGTTTCCATGCCCTGTAGACAAGTTTTGTCTTTAACTACTACCCTCAGTGTGTGAAGTGTAAACTGGTCAGTTTGTTTAAATTCCCCAAATGTTAATGGTTTCTAAATCTGAGCTGAGTATAAGGCTTTACTGCTTTTTCACAGTAGGGATTTTTGCCAGTTTTCTTCCTTCCCCCTCCATGTGCCTGCTGTAGGATGATCTGTTCTTCAGAAAAAAAAAAAAAAAAAAAAAGCTATTTTCCTATTTTCAACTAGCTGGTATTTACTAGTGGTTTCTTCCCTGCTATATAATCTCACTGGCACTGTAATCTCTTGAGGTTAGTGAACAGCATAATTAGTCCTTTGTGGTTTTCCTCCAAAATTTGGTTATCTTTGGGTATTCTCCCCATATGTACAGTGCTGCTTACTCCTTACCAGCTCTTCCAACAGTTGTGTGTTGTGCTGCTGTGGAAGCATTTTGTCCCTTTCTGCACATGGAGGACCTTCCTACAGAATGTACCTCATGTTTCAGCATTAACTGCTTTTTTCACGCTCTGTTTTTCCTGAAGGGAATCAGCAGCTGTCTTTCTCTCCCTTGGAATTTGAGACCCCCTTGATTTGTTGTGTAACTGGTGTTTCTGGCCATGCTGATGGTTGTCCTCTGCAGAGCTGATCCACCTCTGACAAGCAGCCCTGAGCATGGGATTTTCCATGCCTCGTCTTGTGTTGCTGTTGTTTGAGGGCTCCAAATCCTTTTTCCTCCTCTCCCTTAATACATAATGGGTAGCACAGTTGAACTGACAGGCTGATTCTCATGAATCTCAATCAAGACAGAAAATTCACTGGCTGCATAAAGGTTATAGAAACTTGTTTTGTCCTTTACTTTCTGTCTTGTCTTAAAGGCGATTTTAGCTTGACTTTTTTCCTACGTTCAAGTAAGTTGTTTTCCACCCACTCCCACAAGAAAGCTTTTGAACCTATGGGCGAGCTTTAACCACATAGGACAAAGGGCTTGGTTCTGAGTTTCTATGAATATAATGAAACTTACGGACAGAAAGAGGAGAGAGGCACATGTAGTGTCCTCCTGAGGAGAAAGCTGTACCAGCAGCTCAGCTGTGTTCTCTGCCAGGACATCGCTCTCCCCTTATTTAAAGTAAAACCTCTGGTCAGAGCCTGCACCTTCTGAAATGCAGCATAAACAACCACAAAGCTACGGGAAATCAGCTTTGTAATGTCTCTTTCTCACAGCATTAATTGTTTTGGTGTTTTTCATACCTATTTCTGCTTGACTTTCTCTGAATTTGTGGGCAAGGAGATTATTGGCATTACTTTCCTTTGGGTAGTTTGAACAAAGCCCTTTCAGACTTGCTCTGGTTATGGCTCGAGTTCCCTATAGCAAAGTTCTCTCAAAAGCTGAACTCTGACACAACTTCTGATCTTAAT